ACGCAGAATTTGATTTTAGGATTTTAAAAAAAGGATCGATAAACTTAAATTTTGGATGTTATAAAGTGCAAGAATGATTTTGTTAGGAATCAAGAATGGAATTTATTAATGTAACAATTAAGGATCGAGTTCATTGACTGATTACACTATCTAAAGGCAGATTAATTTTCATGACGTCATTAACAGCATGAATTTTGTATTGATGGCCAGTTAATTAAATTAAAATTAATACGTCTTTATTGGGTTTGGCAATAATAAAAACGGCCTTGACTGGCCCGATACCAATCAACCTACATTGCGTTTGTCATTTTATTTCGTTAATTGATTCTGTAGTGTAATTGGTGGGGGAGATTGATCAAACTTTAAATATTTACCCAGTCGTTAGATAGGCGTGACAAAGTGCTCAAGTGATTACTTAAACTGCATTAAAATTCAATATTTTTTCCAATATTCGACCTTACCCCACCATATAGCTTCAAATACGAAAATGCAAAACGAAAATCAATATACGAACGGATTTTCTGCTTTCATTCTGTGCTTCTGCAATCTCATTTGAACAAGGGAATAAGAGTGATGATTATGCAGACCTTTATAGACCTTTATAGGCCAGAAAAATGGGACAATTTACGACCAAAATTTTGAAGAAGGAGCAGTTTTATACCTACATACATTTTTTAACTGAACGAAAAGTTAATTTGGTTTGTGACTTGACATGTCGACTTTATTTTTATCGTAAAAGAAAGTAGTCTATATTACAGGTATAATAGCAGATCAGCCGAAGTCTCCTTTCCACGTTTTTCTCCCAAACTACAACGATCTGTTGACAACTGACAGGTGTAAGCAATACCTTAGAACAGTGGAAAGATGGTGGCCGTAGTTTGAATTTGATTATAACTGTTAAAAGTCTATATTGAAGACATTTTGTTGCATTTGGCAATTTCCGTAAAGCTTTGGCATGTGTGGCAGGTTTCTGTAAATAACAGTACTTCGGGGAGCAGGATTTGGTGGCCTAGTTGTAGTCCAGTGGCTTAAGGAAAAAAAATGGCCAAATTGTGACACGGCGGATAAAAGCACCAAATTTTGCATGTGGGTACCTTTTGACATACTAAACCAAATAAGAGCTGTAGCCCACGGAAAAAAATTACCGTTTGGCCAAAAAATCCAAAATGGCCGCCAATTTGTGAAATTCTGTAGAAATATATACATTCCTATGTTGATTTTTATCAAATAAAGTATTTTCTCAATGTTTTCCACATCCTTATTACCCATGTAATGCATATATGTCAGATAACAAACGAGTGTCCTTGGACTTTTTGGAAAATCCAAGATGGCCGCTGTATAGCATAGGAATACTAGAACATGTACAAGGATTTTCAACTAATGCCAACTATGAAGATGCATTGCCCACCATCTAATTAATTTTGTTTCTGAGTGCACAAATAATATATTTGTTGTGAGTAACTAACCTTTATTCTCAAGCATTTCGGGAAAATCCAAGATGGCCGCCATATCAAAGGAATACTAGTATACACATAGGGCTTCTTCTGCCATGGATATAAAATATTAATTGATAAATTAGGTTTGTTTCTGAGTATTTTCCACATCTTTTTAATCCACATAAAATATATGTGATGAGAATGTTATGTGTATCCTTTTTGAACACAACACAAAACAAAATGGCTGCCATTAGCCATAGAAGGTGGGTTTCAGTTAATACCTGCGAGAGATAGGCTTTCATATAAAATGAAGCTAAATTCAGTTGTTTTTCTGTTAGTTTATTATTATTATTATTATTATTATTATTATTATTATTATTATTATTATTATCACATGATACAAATCTGTTAGGTAATTAATGTCTATATCTGATCATTTTGGGGAAATCCAAGATGGCTTTCTTTTCCCCATAGGAAAACTGTTGCATTGAATTTTATAGGCACTTCTAAGGCAAATGAGGGTAATCATGTCATTTTGTCAAAATACTTAAGGATACACACTTGTTACCCACCAGATAGATGTCTCAAAGTCCAAAAAGAATGTGGGAAATACCGAGAAACAAAATTAATTTTATATTGAACCCAATGTCTCTCTGGCAGTAGTTGATTGTGCTACTCCTATTGTGAATTGCAGCAATCTTGAATTTTCTCAAATATGCAAGATACACCCCTTCTACTCATCAGATTTATATAGAGTAGGGTTAATAAGGATGTGAACATGTCTGAATATCAAACAGCTTTATTTCATGTTGGAATCAATCTCTGAACTGTTCCATGAATTGACACCTATGTGCATTTGAAATATATATTTCTATGACAACTGGCAGCTATCTTGGGTTTTCTCCGAATAGTACTCAAGGATACATACACTTTCTACACACAGTGAGTCTTTCATAAGGATAAATAGGATATGAAAAACATTTTAAAACGATCTAAAGTTAACTACATTTAAATTGTACTCAATGTATCTCTGGAATTATTTGATTATGTGTACGAATATTTTAATGACAAAAGGCAGACATCTTGAATTTTTTTCAGAATACCCAAAGATACACACATGCTACAGACCAGGTATACATCATAGGGGTAATTATAAATGGAGTGAAAAACATAAATTATTTTTAAAACAAACCCATGGTTATGTAATTGTATAATGAACCATATGCTTCTCTAGCAGCAATTGAAACCCACCCTTTAGTATTCCTATGCCAAATTGTAGCTTTCTTGGATTTTCTCAGAATATCCAAGGATGCACACTATTTACTCACCAGATATTTATCAAAGGACTAATACTGATGGGCAAAACTTGATAAGCAAACACAATTTCACCCTGGTAGTAGATGAAAAACCATGGATGTGCAGTTGTAATTCCAGTAGTATTCCTATGACCAGTGACGGCCATCTTGGATTTTCTCAAAATGATCAAATATGCTCATTTATTACCTGCTAGATATGTATCACAGTGTAATAATAATGTGTAAAACACTGAAAAAATAAACTGAATTTGATAGCGAATTATGTTTTTCCTAGCTGGCATTAGTTCCAACCCTTTGTAATACTAGAAGTATTCCTATGACATATGGCGGCCATCTTGGATTTTCTCAAAATACCCAAGAATACATGTTAGTTACTCACCACATACATATTGTGTTGGTGGAAAGGATGTGGAAAACACTCAGAAATAAACTTAATTTGGTAGTGGAAAATTAATCTTTCCAGTTGTCATTAGTTGAATCCCCTGTATACTAGAATTCCTGTGGCACATGGCAGCCATCTTGGATTTTCCTAAATACCCAAGAACACTTCGTAGTTACTCACCACAAACATATTATGTGGGTAACAGAATTAATTTTATAGTGGACAACGTATCTTTCTAGCTGGTATTAGTTGTGCACTAGTATTCCTATGGCTGTTTCTATGGCATATGACAGCCATCTTGGATTTTTCAAAAGTCCAAGGGAACTTATTTGCTATCTGACATATATGAATAAAATGGGTAATAAGGGTGTGGAAAACTCTGAGAAAATAATTTATTTGATAAAAATCAACATAGGTATGTGCATATTTCTATAGAATTCCATAAATTGGCGGCCTTTTTGTATTTTTTGACCAAACGGTAAATTGTTAGAGAGGGCTACGGCTCTAATTTGATTTAGAATGTCAAAAGGTAGCTACATGCCAAATTTGGTCTTTTTATCCGCCGTGTCACGATTTTTTCCTTAAGCCACCGGACTATTGTAACGTCCTTGGCTGCCAAGCACGGCGGAATGAGTGCGATTCCCATGCTGTCCCGTTTTTTGGTCTTTTACGTTTTTTTTTCAATAATTATGAATATTATTATAAATATATTAGCATAAAATGATTGTTGATAATTAATTTTTACCTGAAGGTAGGGTGAGGAGGTGGGTTTTTATTTTTATTGTTTTAACCGCATTTCGGTTGAAAATGCATGTCACAAACATATAAAAGATTACAATTACCATGATAAAAAATTTACCATCATTTATAAATTACACCAAACGCTGTAAACTGTATTAGTGATGTTAAACACTTTAAAATAAATATAAATTGTTTGATATCGTGATAAGCTTTCATTGTCTAACATCCATATTGCAGTAGATGTGCCACTGTTTTGTGCAATTGTGCTATGATGCATCCCTTTATGCAGCCATCCAACAAAAGTGAAGAGTCCAAAGACCAAATAGTGTATACTGATCTCGAATTATGGTTCAATGACTGATGTGACGGGTATCAGCTAGTAAAAGTGGTTTTTATGCATTACTTTTATGCATTACGCGCTGCCTACATGTTAGGATAACCGCAAAATTAAACGCTGGTTTAAGAACTGAATAGACAGACAACTGGCTTAACATGACTTCACGAGGATTTAAACCCCTCGGGGAAGACAGGTGAATGGGTATGGACAGTTATCAGGAGTCATCTCACTGGTAGGTAATCAGGGGCGGATCCAGAAATATTTCCTGACAGTCTTCCATATTATATTTGGTTATCCATTTTCCATTTTTGACCGTCTTCCGACAGAAAAAATTAGATACCCTTCAATGTAAACTAGAAAATCTGACCGTCTTCCGGAAGACCCAGAAGACGGCCTAAATCCGCCCCTGGGTAATGGCAGCTTACTTAACAAGCTTGCTATCTTCGGTGGCTTGTATGTCACTGGACCACGTGACCACGTACTGTAGTAGCTCATTAAACCCCAGACATAGCGGAAAGGGCGTTTTTCTAAAGCTCAAAATTTAGTAAATGAGCTTCCAATCTGTGCACTTTGATAAAATTTCAAATTAATTTGTCAGAAGATGCAAATCACATGCATCCTAAACTGTTATCAATGGTTTACTGCCGGAACATCGTGTTTTAACTACTTCCAGGAATGACGTCGGTGTAGCCAAGTAAGGAAGTGACGACGTTACATAAGCAAAGCTGGAAGTGACGTCGGTGTAAACGAGGCCGGAAGTGACGTTTTCGTAGATGGTGTTTACTTACCTCACGTGGTCTGGAGAGTGTGGGTCCGTAAGTATCTGTCTTTTCAACATCTCAAGGCTAACGTGTCCACAGTGCTTCTAAATAAAATAAAATAAACGTCTTTAATGTCCTGTTTTTTGTGGTCTCAAAAGTTAGAATTGCCCCAGATCAATAAAGTCTTTGTGATAAAAAGCCAAGAATTTAATGTTTATTATCATATTCATCTCTAGGTAGATCACAACTATTTAGGTCACATGGCGATAGTATCACATAAAATATGAAAATCAAATAAATATCTCACATCATGTCCTACAAAGGGCAATTGTACACAAAAAAAAAATGTGCAATACCAAAAATAAAATAACAACACTGTTATGCACCGAACTAATTCCCAAATAACTGGAGCAGATGTGACAGGAATACTGGTCCTAGGAATTGAAGTCCGGGGTCCAATAGTACGTGTATATGATAAGTACAAACTGGAGAAGCCGGAAGTATCGAGAGCAGTACTCGATTTTAAGGCAAATGTCACCTGTTGTCAGGAACCACAGTATAGAAAAAGTACTAATTACGTCATGAACCACAGTATAGAAAAAGTGTATAATTAGTACTTTTTCTATACTGTGGTTCCTGACACTGTGTAATCTAATGGGAAATGGACAATAGCATTCAGCGGATTGGCATTCCTGTCACAGCATTATATGGATTCTTACTTGTGCTGCTGCAACAAAAATAAGTTCCTCCAACGATCTATTTATTCCGGGGAGCTTTCCCTCTTTACCGTGGTCTGCGACCCATACGTCGTAACCCTGGTAATACAAAATGTCATGAATTTTAATACTGATGATAATTATTATAATTATTATAAAAAATAAAAATGAAAATAAATTGAGCATTAAATGTGTTGTCATTGGAAGGATCTCTCAACAAATTTGCAACTTCAGTAAGAATTGCCAAAAACTTGCATTTCTTAATATAAAGGATAAAGTCACCCCTCACCCCAAACTCCTTATTTACTGCCTTACATGTATTCTTTTAGATAATAAATAAACTTCATTTACATTTACACACATTTCATGTTACGGGTGACGTCATAATTGCGATTTTGGGGCAAAAACTGAAAAATAGGTTTCTCTTCTTGTTTTACACCACGGACTTCAGTATCATCTGCATGCAAATATCATTTTATTTCAGACAACTATTTTGCAGAGGGCGTCCTTCTTATAAGACGTCTTAGTATAATAAGCTTGGAGACAGTACTCACCCCAAGTGTTGTGAATGTAATCTACTGTAGCGTTATCACGTTAGGACTCGTCAAAGTGTACTGTTACAGACTGTTTCGTCTAAGCATATCACTCGAAGTGGAAAGGTCTAAGATAATCCAGGCAAGATGGGCACAAAAAACTACGACCATAAACCGATTAGTATGCATTGGAGGTACGTACCTCCTTCACTAATTTCAAACCTCCAATATCTGCTAAATTTTCTGTCAGGGTTAACTTTCCATCCACCTACAAGGACCAAGAGAAAATAAATAAATAAATAAATAAATAAATATTTATCTACAAATGAATCTAAATTAGAATCATTTTATTTCAATAATAATTGGATCTTGAATTCAGACAGGGTATTTTAATTTTACAAAATTGAAGACTACATACAGAAGAACATAAAGTTATTGTGTGTGGTGATGCAACGTAATTATTTGGATTTTAGTATTTCCCATAAACAAATGGAATAGAAATTAAGGTATTCACAAATTTTATATGACATCTAATTATATATTGAGATATTACTAAATTTGTTATAAAAATTATGTAAATCTGCGTTCACCAACCTGCATTCCGGACATTGTGTAAGTGGAATAGTAGTCAGTTACGCACGAAGCGTCTTTCTGAAATTGCGTCCAGGAGGCGTTTGACCACCAATTTTGCAACCTTCCATCTTTGTCATACCGCGATCCTTAAAACGATATAAATTAAATACAAAAATTAATTGTAATAGATAAGTAAAAAAAAG